AGAAATACTAAACGAAGTAAACAAAAAGAGCAAAAAGAAATGTGCAAAAATAGAAACGATCTCAGTTAACTACAAAGGAATAACAACAACAATGATAACAACAAATGACTCGGCAAGATTAGATGTAAGCTAGTGAAATTTAATTAAATTTAATAAAAACCACAAAAATCACAAAACTTTCACTTAGCTTCGGTTATTATCACACCAGGATGCTCGTAGGCACTTTTTATAGCAACTTTTACTCAAAATTAGCACAATAAAATTTGCAAAATACAAAGACCAATCAAGGCACAAAATAAGTAGAACTTCACAGCTTGACGTTTGCGAATCGTAGCAAGTAATGTGGTGGATGGTATTGTGAAGGGTTATTTACCAAAAGAGAAACACTACTACATCAATTCTGTAGGTATAATACTCGCTGCTCTGCCTGAGCCACATCGGAGTGTAAATGAACACCATGGGCAATACATTGATACACCAGTCGCCCAATACAAGCTTAAGCGAGAGAGGACCTTTGAATTAAAATGCATGCACCTTCGCGTTGATGGGTGTCAGCTGGATTGGCATATTTAAACATTACCTTAATCATGCATATTAAAGCGGAGTATTCAACACAGCGCAAAGGCAATGCACGAAGACGCAGAGGCTGCCGCTGTTGGGCGTGTGTAGGGTAATGCATAGAAGAAATGTTGAAGATTTGGAATGTATATTTGTTAATGCTTGTTTTTTTTAAATAGGTATACAATCCGACAATTTCTCAAACGTGAACCGGATAATATTAATTTGGGTAATTGAAAAACAATAGGGCTGTTCAGGATTTTGTGCATAGGCTCTTACATTTGCATATCCGTTGCATTTGTAAATTCGCAACAATAAAATGGACACGATTGCCATGGCAGCAAGCATAAAATTTGCAAATGCAATTCCAACTGCAAATCCAAGACCATTTCCACAATATTCTGAACAGCCCTAATATTTTTTCCAAAGATATGGAAAATATATTCATTGGTTTTTATTCTTGCATATTTTTAGAAACCCGCAGAAACTGGGCGTAGGGTAAGGGTGACACGGGTACACGGCTAGCAAATGCGCAGTACGTCAATTAAAGAACCGGTTTGATAACCAAGAAGGATTATGTCGTAACATTACCGCCACCCTGACACTTATTTAATAAGTAACAAATATGTACATATCGCACACTCTTTTCAAAAGTGACACAACTCAAAACTTGGCATTATGTATATAATGCATTATTTAATTTTGCCAGTTTATTTACAAGTAAAAAAGTGCTAATCTGACACATCCAAATTATATTCAACTATAAGTACATATTTAAGTTTCACTAGAAAATTTCAGTAGCCTGTAAGAAAACTAATGAAATAAAATCATACTATTTAACCTTAGAAATTAATTCTTTTTTGATATAATAAATAATATATGTAAATAAATTACGCATTAAATGCTGTTGTCCAAATTAAAAATATAAAATTAACTTTTTATTAAATAAGTCAGGTACACACAAAATCTAATTTCATGTTTTCATTTCATTTCATCTATTCCGAAAACAACAATAACTCAGTAAAGTAACACCAGACAAATTAAATAAAGTAATAATAAAGCTAAGCTTTCAGTAAATAAAAATTAAATAATTCAATTATCAAAATGGTGATTTCTTGTAAGTATTCGCAATGTTTTTCATGCCATAAATGTTTTTTATTTGTTTTTAAAGCATGGCTTATATTTTAACAATCACCATATAAATCCAAGTTTTAAACTGAATACATAGTTAAGAAGTATTTTCCAAAGTTTAATGAAAATTACAAACTTTTTAATAAGAATTTCTAAATTTATATAAATTCTTATTTAAAAGTTTGCAATTTTGATGAAACTTGGCCAAATACTTCTAAATTACGTACACAGTGTGAAGCTTGGATTTGTGTAGTATTTATCAAAATATAAGCCAGGTTTGTAAATGAAAAATAACATATTTATAGATGAAAAACCTAGCGAATACTTAAAAAAAATTACCGTATACTTAAGGAACGAACACTTATCACTTAAAAACCAATTCGGAAAACCACATTCATTAAACTACAATTCATTTAAAAAACAGTAAAACAGTAAAAAGACACTACAACAATAAATAAATTAATAATAACCTTTATCTATTACACAGGCCTGCGAAATTTGAATTTTTTTCCCCGCTCCAATAATTATGTTATTTTAATATCTGGGTATGTTAAATTAAAATACATCTTTGGTTCTTTCTAGCACGTCGAGATTTTTTTATTGGTGACATGCATATTTTAAAATATTTAGCAATTTGCATGAAAAGCCAAAAACTCGTTAATTTAAAATTGAATGTTTACTTAAAAACCGACAGTTTTAATTAAAAATACCCATAAATAGACTAAGTAAATCAGAAACTCTTATATAATTTCGAAGAAAATTGATACAAGCGTTAACTTCGAAAATAAATAAGTTTTGATTTACTTATCTATTTATGGTTATTTTTAATAAACTGTCGGTTTTTAAGTAAACATTCAATTTTAAATTAACGAGTTTTTGGCTTTTCATGCTAAAAATTCTAAAATATCATGTCACAATAAAAAAATCTCGACGTGCTAGAAAGAACCAAAGATGTATTTTAATTTAACATACCCAGATATAAAAAAATAACATAATTATTGGGCGGGGGAAAAAATTTAAATTCGCAGGCCTGTGCTATTAATAAAAATATATACATTCATATGTCCAAAAAATATTTACATCTATTGGGGAGGGCCCAGTGTACGAGTAAACTCGGCGAAAGCATTCGCACAAGTTTTCACCCCCTCCGCCAATACCGTGAAGGCCTGTGCCGTTATTGCAGTGGCGGTAGCCATTTGCTCTGTGGCAGCAGCCATCCTGCTAATTGCCTCAGCATTAGAACGGTTGGCCTCCGCGTTCGTAGCAGCACTTTCAGCAAGCAACTAAGAAAATAAGGGTTTTATTAATAATACAATAAAAATACAATATTTAAAAAAATACCCTTTCCGATTCGACCTGTGCCTCCGCAATTTTAAAAAAACGTGTCTTTGTTGGCGATTCCTTCGTCCGTTTTCGCTTGGCGGTCCTGCGCGGTGTCTGACCCGGATTTTTCGGAGTTTCGCACCGAAGCTCCGAATCGCCTTCTGACACCGTTAATGGAGGTAGGAGGATGGTGTCTACATCTTCCTCCACGACTAGGCGGAAGTTTTCATCCGCCGCCCCCAAGGCCACTTGCAGGTTCTAAAAATAGCATAATGAAAATTACAATATGATTAGCATTTATTTAATACGATATAATTCAACTTACCTCTTCCATGGGAATATTCTCCTGCACATCCGGTTGCCCNCTTGCCCCTCCATAAAGCTGCTTCCCACTAGAGCTATTACCCGCTTTTCTAGTTCGCTCAAGGGAGGCTGTTGAAGCGGTAAATTCCCCGTCAACGCGTGCTCCCTTTTGCGATCACGAACTCGCGTTGATGTTCGACTTTTTAAGTCGCGCCAGACCTTTGTAAAATAATAGAAACACACTTTCACACTTTACTATTCTTTGATGTAGGCCGTTTTCGGAAATGCCTTACTGCAAAGCACCTCTTTTTATACTTAAATTTATAATGTCTGATTTCAGCAAAAACATTATTGGCATAAGAGGTGCGATGTTTGGCAGTAATGCATTTCCGGAAATGCCCCTACTTCATCACTTATACTTACATTTTGCCATTGCTCGACAGATTTAACTGCCCCTCCAATGGAGTTTAACTTCTCGGCCATCTCTGCCCACTTCTTGCTGTTCTCCAACTTGCCATGCAGCTTTTGGAATTTGCCGCTCGCAACATTCGGGTTTTCACCAAGAAAGTCAAGCATCGCGCTTAACTGCTCCCCCGATGCACGGCTCCTCTTTGTTGATTGGCTAGACATCCTGAAATTAAAGAAGTTCCAGTAAATTCCGATTAAAAACTAAAATAATTAAATATTACCTTNTAACTTCTCGGCCATCTCTGCCCACTTCTTGGTGTTCTCCAACTTGCCATGGAGCTTTTGGAATTTGCCGCTCGCAACATTCGGGTTTTCACCAAGAAAGTCAAGCATCGCGCTTAACTGCTCCCCCGATGCACGGCTCCTCTTTGTTGATTGGCTAGACATCCTGAAATTAAAGAAGTTCCAGTAAATTCCGATTAAAAACTAAAATTTTAAATATTACCTTTTGAAATTGCAATACGTAGCTGACGCGCAAAAATTCTGTTTCCGCGGGAAGGAAATAAGTTTTTTTTCTTATTCCTCTTTGTGCTTTTCGCATATTTGACATTTCTCTCGACTGAGATGCCACATTTTATCATTTTAAATAAAAAGAAGTAATCAGCTGTTTTTCGCTGTTAAGCAAGAGTTAGAGAATCATATAATTGTTAGTGCAAACGGCAAAAGATGTTAAGTAACCTAACACCTTTTTTATTGCTAAGAGTTACAGAATCGCACTACTGGTGTTCTGCTAGTCGAACGCTGAGAGCGCGTTTTGTTGTTCCTATATATATTTTGTTACAGGCTTCGTTTTCTTTGCCTTTACATGTTATTTCGTAAACTACGTTATTCTGTTGTTTGGTGTCTATAGGGCTTTTTGTTTTTGTGTAAATCGTGGATAAAGTGTTATTGGACTTGTTGGCGAGAGTGATATTTTGTTTTCTAGCCAAGTCGCGATCGAGGTTTTCGGATAGTTTGGGGATGTATGTTATGCTGTGGTATTGTTTTTTCGTGTCTGTTGTTTTTGTAGATGTTGCTCTATTTTGAGGGCTGGTTATTTCCATTACTTTCCGTTGTATGAGTTCGCGTATTAGGTAGTCGGGGTAAGGGTTGTATTTAGTATTTTTCTTATTTTGTCTATGTTTGCGCCATGAAATCGTTGGTGGCTTAAAGTGAGTACATTATGTATTAGGTTTTTGGCGGTGTTTATTTTGTATTTGGTGGGTTGTGATGAGGAGTAGTTAATTAGGCGGCCAGAAGATGTAGGTTTGGAGTACCAGTCCAAAAATAGGATATTTTTCTCTCTGTGAATACAGACGTCTAAGAAGGGGATGCGTGCGTTTTCTCCCATTTCTGTGGTAAACTGGAGTTTGTTGTGGTATTTGTTTAGTGTGTCTAGAATCTTGTTCACGTCGTTTAGTTTTATTATTGCAAAGATGTCGTCCACATATTTCGCTATAAATTTTATGTCAATGTTGTATTTGTTTTTAAGCTCCGCGATAGTATTGTCAAGTAGGTTGTCCATGATAATGTCAGCAATTGTTGGCGAAAGAGGATTGTCCATCGGCATTCCAAAACTTTGAGTATACAATTTGTTATTGTACATAAAATAGTTGTTGTCTTTAAGACAAAAGTCTAAAATGTGGTGAAACTTATTTTTAGGTATATTCGTCCTCTTTTGTACTTGGTCCCATTTATTTAGTATGATTTTAATTGCTAACGTTGTAGGTATATTTGTGAACAAGGATACTACATCGAACGACACTAATACATCTTCTTCACATACACTTATATCTTTTAACTTGTCCTTGAGGTTAAATGCATTTTTAACATTGTATTTTTCTGAAACGATGGTTTTTAAAGTTTCTCCAACATATTTGGACATTCCGTAGCATGGGACATTCACAGAGGAAGCAATTGGGCGTAAAGGGGTTTGTGGTTTGTGAACATTTGGCAATCCATAAAGTCTTGGTGCGGTAGCTGCACTGCTGCTGAGTTGGTATTTTTCTTTTAGGTTTATGTATTTGTTTTTGTAGAGATCGTCCACTATAACATTGTTTTTCTTTTGCAGAGTGTTCGTTGGGTCAGTTTTTATTGTTTTATATATGTTTCTGTCTTCTGGTATGCTCTTCATCTTCTCCGTGTATATTGCTACGGTTTTCTTCCCCTTGTCCGCGTCCGTTATCACAATATTGTGTTTTTGTAGTCTAAGAAAGGCTTTTGTTTTGCTAAGTGCTTCTAATAGGAATTTTTCAGCTGCGTTGTGTCTTATGTTACGTTTAAAGAGGAGGATTCTGTTGCAGAGTTTATTTCTTGCTATTTCTTTTTCTTTCTCGTTGTCTATAGATTGTATTATCTGTATTAAGTTTAATTAAATATGTTATAATAGAAATTTGTGTAAGTAGTAAAATATTATAATTCATTTGCCACTTATATATTCATATGCACGTCATACATGTATATTCTTTATGTAATTTTTGTCAAACGTCAATGCATATTTGTAATTTTTGTACTTATTGTTGATACAGTGAAAATAAACAACTAGCCCCTGAAGATGCTAATGAGTTTAGCGAAACGTGGGGCAACTATAGTGGAATAACTTTGTTTTATTTGCACTAAAGGATACAAGATCGGACAAGCCTATTAAAATATTACAATTTAAAAAGTGCAATAACATTAAAAAATTTATAAATTTATAATTTCTGAATTTCACTTTTTACTATGTAAAATTACTGCTTCTGGTCACACTGCTCGCCACCCCACTCTAGGTATATGTCTGTGCGTATGTACAGACAGAAACACCTTAACCCTGTACAACAAAGAAATAAGGGAGTCTAAGCGTTTAAGCTTTAGGAACTTCTGTGAAAGCATAGAAGATACCGCGGAGGCTACAAGACTCTATAAGGTAATGGCAAAAACGAATTATATTTCGTCCGCAAGTCTAAGGAAGAGTGATGGGAGTTTCACTGTTTCACTGGAAGCGAGGAAGAGAAGATCAAACTTCTCATAGGTACTCACTTCCCAGGATCTACATCACATTTCGAGACAGATCGGACTGAACATAGTAGTAAAATAAGCAGAGAAAACTGGTTAGTGACTAAGGAAATATGCTCTGAGCCCCGACTAAGGTGGGCGGTGAACACCTTTAAACCGCTAAAGTCACCGGGAGCGGATATATGCGCCTTTCTGGACATCGAGGGCGCGTTTGACAACACCTCACATGCTGCAATAAACAGTGCTTTGATCAGCAGAGGGGTAAACAATACCCTCGTAGCCTGGATTAATTGCATGCTCCGCACCAGAAGGGTAGAAATACAAACCTGTAGGAATAATACGGTTGTTGCCGAAACAACAAGGGGCTGTCCACAGGGTGGAGTGCTATCTCCACTTCTGTGGAACATAGTCGTCGACGGACTGCTCCAAGAGCTGACAGATACTGGGTTAACTTGGCAGGGGTATGCCGGTAACATTGTAATTATATGCAGGGGGAAATTCGAAAACATCCTGTGTGATAGAATCCAGCTAGGGCTGAATGTAACCAAAAAATGGTGTGCTAAAGTGGGGCTGAATGTTAACCCATCAAAAACCACTATAGTACCATTCTCAAGGAAATATAAACTGGATAGCCAAAAACAATAAGGCTGGATGGAACCAACATTATATATCAAAAAGAGGTTAAATTCCTAGGAGTGATACTAGACCAAAAACTAGTCTGGAGAGCACACGTGGAAAAACCACAAAGAAAGCTGTAAGATCATTTATGACGTGTAGGTCCATGGCAGGAAAGAGTTGGGGATGCACACCAAAGATACTGAGATGGATCTACACGACTATAGTACGACCCATGATGGCTTATGAAGCCATCATCTGGGCCGATAGAACTTCACAACTTGGAACAATCAAAGTGCTCTCCAAGTTACAAAGGCTGGAATGCGACTGCATAACCGGAGCCATAAGAACCTGTCCAACCGCATCCTTGGAGGTTCTTCTAGACCTTACCCCTCTTCATATTCACATACAGACTCAGGCGAAGAGAGCTTTACTACGGATAACTGGTTCCAATATCGGGGCAGAAGAGTATCCTAGCCGTGGGAAGTTAGATATTCTTACAAAGAAGTTCGCTGAAATTGCAATACCGAGGGATACCATGCATCCGAGGTACAGCTTTACAAAGAGGTTTAAAACTGATCTGAGTAATAAGAAGAGCTGGGTTGGCATATCCGAGACGTATCGGATAAACCAAAACATGATTACCTGGTACACTGATGGCTCATTGACCGACGAGGGTACCGGGGTAGTTGGACCGAGGGTAAGATACTCGGAACCCATGGGAAAACATATGTCTATTTTCCAGGCTGAAACATACGCCATAGAAAGATGCGTGGACTTTAATATCAAACGAAACTACCGCAATCAGAACATCGCAATCTTGACTGACAGCCGATCGGCTATCAAGGCCCTCAGATCTTACCAGGTAACATCTAAACTGGTGATGGAGTACCTCGAAAAGCTGAATACTCTTGGTCTGACCAATCAGGTTTGGGTTCTCTGGATTCCGGGACATATTGGTATTAAAGGAAACAAGATTGCCGATAAACTAGCGAAGAAGGGTGCATCGACCCCTTTCACTGGCCCAGATCCTTTCTGTGGCCTGGGAAAAGGGGCACTCTCCGAACTTGTTCGGTAAGAGGAAGGGGCTCACAGAAAACGCTACTGGGATAATCTACCAGGTCTAGAGCAGTCCAAAGCACTTTTAGGAATATATAACCTAAAGCGCTTCAAGGAATGTATGAGCTTATCAAAGAATAACTTAAGAATTGTTACAAAAATCCTGACAGGACACTGCAGGCTGAACTATAACCTGACTAAACTGGGAATCTACTCGCATGAGCGATGCAGATTTTGCAGGACAGAAAACGAGACTGCACAGCATATCTTAGAAGAATGTCCTGCACTGATGCAAAAACGCAAAAGACACCTGGGTGAACACATGTTAACCAAAGGCGAAGTGAAATCCGTAGATTTAGGTTGCATACTAAAGTTTCTCTCGGTTACTGGATTAATAGACACTCTATAATCAATGAAGGGGGCACAATAGATCTGAAGGTCGCAGTGTTTTATCCCCAACAATAATAATAATAATAATGTACATACAATACAGCTGTTCACTGCAGCTTGAATTTTCTTTCTTTGTTGTAATTAATTATTCACTTTTAATTTATGAACGCGATCGCAAATCGCTGTTCATATTTCACTTAAAATTTCTTAGGGCCGTTTGCACCATGTTTAGTTAACGCTAACTGGAGGTACATCCTTCAGTTAAGCACGTTAACTGCTTTATCGATCACATGTTATATGATGGGTGTCGATAACGTCGATAAAGATGTTTAACTGGGAGTTAGAATTAACTAGACATGGTGCAAACGGCCCTTATACATGTAGCTAGCGCCGATGTGATTTTGTGTGTTTAGTTGCTCAAATATAATATTCCAATGCTTAAGGCAGCCAAAAGTGGCCGCCGTGTGTTTGTTGTTGTGCGGTCAAATAATTTATTTGTACAAAAGGTAACGGGTGATTTTTTAAGAGCTTGATACCTTTTTTTTTAAAAAAAACGCATAAAATTTGCAAAATCTCATCGGTTCTTTATTTGAAACGTTAGATTGGTCCATGACATTTACTTTTTGAAGATAATTTCATTTAAATGTTGACCGCGGCTGCGTCTTAGGTGGTCCATTCGGAAAGTCCAATTTTGGGCAACTTTTTCGAGCATTTCGGCCGGAATAGCCCGAATTTCTTCGGAAATGTTNATGATGAAATGTCAAAGCATACTGAGCATCTTTCTCTTCGTATGTAATAGGGTTCCACTGTTCACTTGTTCCTGTAGCACTAGCCGAATATTAAATTAAATGGCGTAGGCCGAAATTCTATTTCTGTATGGAAATCGTTACGTTGTTTTTTCCAATAATTTATCACAAAATCACTCGCGCACTTCGAAATTTTTCACCGAAATTTTCGCGGTTTTTCTAGCGCTTATATACACACGTATACAGGGTGTCCCAGAAGTAACATGCCAAACTGACAGGTGACTAACGTGCTCTCTGACAGACAAAAAAATGTCAGGTAAAAGTGTCACCGTTTCCGAAATATTTACATTTTTTTGAACTAAGAAAAAATAGCGCCTTTTCATGTATTTTCTTTAACTGCATCTACAAACCAGGCTATACTTAGCAAATTTTTTATGTAAAATACTTCCAGATAGTTGCTTCTCCATACCCAAATGCAATGTAGTTAAAATATATTAAGGAACCATCATAAAATGAGGACTATTTCGGGATTTTTAACTTTTTGATATTTTCTTCCCCAAATTTGACTATCTCTGGTGAAAAAAATGTACTGATTTCAGAAAGGTGCCAGTCTCACTGTTTCGAATAGAAAAAAAATTATAGCCGCTTTTGTGGGCAAAGGACTGAGACACGCTAGAATGTATATAATAGATTTAAATTTAACTTGCTCTTGTTACCGACCAATGGCATGCTAAATAGTACAAAGGTACATTATTACCTGCTCCTGACTAGTGCAAATTTTTGTTGGAGACAGAGATATGTAGTTCGTCTAGCTTACGGAGAGTACACGTCGTTGTGAGATTTATTACATCAAAAAACCGAAACGTTAAAATTGCCCTGAATATAAAGAACTGATCTTGTCGCCCGAAAGTGGGAACAGTTCAAATTCGACCAGTCGACCGTTGACCAGTGTGACCAGGAGCAACAAAATAAAAATAAAACAATAAAATTAAATTAAACTAAATAATAAAAATAAGATTAAATTAAATATAAAAATAAAATAAAATAAATAAAGTATTTAATTAAAAAAAAAATTGTTTAAATCAGTAAAACTAAAATAAAACAAAATAAAATAAGTGAAATAAGGGCAAATAAAGTAAGCCTAAATAAATAGAACGGAATAACCGCAAATGAGTGTCCTGAGGTCGCCCCCTTCGGGGCGAAGCAGTAAAGAAGTTACGGTGTCTAAGCTACGAGAGCAGACAGCGTTTAAAGACGTACCTCTACTCAACCCGTTTACGAAGCGTCCGCGGCTAATGGGTTCTCCGCCACGGGTTCGGTTAGCATCGCCTCGTGCTAATGGAGAGACAGAAACAACCCATACTCCTGCATGGTCTACGTTGGGGGCAAAGATTCGAGAGCTCGTGAATATGATGGAGGATTTTAAAACGATTTCCATCCACCAGCCCATGAGAGATCTAATATCGGAACTACCGATCTTATATGATAGAGCACGACCCACATACTCGAAGGGCACAGCAGACGCGTACTCCCAAACCACGCCGTCAAAAACCCGGGGGCAAAATAGCCACACCAGGCCGGAAGAAGCAGCAAAAAGACTAACAAAGCCAAGTAAGAACAAACAAAAAGAGCCAACCACCAACCAAAAAGGTGCGGAACCCCCACAACGCGAAGAGGCAACGACCGAGGAGGCCACGCAATGGAAAAAGGTGGAACGAAAAAGAAAACCGCG